CCCACTGCCAGAGGAAAAGCCTGGCAGCTTAACATCTGAGTGAGGTGAACAGAGGGACATCTCAGTGAGCTTGCACATGGGCTTACCCAGGAGAAGAGCACATCATTTCTCAGAGCCGCAGTTACATCTCTGCTATGCGCATAAATCCATATCCACCCCGTGAAACTCCCTCTCTCTCCAAAACTGGGTGGATGTCCCTTGGGGATGGTCCTGTTGTATGATAAGTCCTAAACTGTGCCCCTGTTCTAGCAATTTAAAAGAAGAGATGACACTGCTTTGGTGCCTGTACCCATGCCCTTTTACTGCTCTAAAAAAAATACAGAAAAACCCTTCCTGGAGCTGCTATGTAGCAGAGGACTCCCAACACAGGCCAATCTCCATCGCCATATCCATGCTTTAGACTCCCTCTCCTCCTCTCCACAACCACAGAGCAATCTGCAACAAGGCTCATGTCAATGCTGTTTTGGTGCCACATCATTGTTTAAATTCACTTAAGTATTTGATCAGCCAATATCAGTATCCTAAACAGAGACAATAGTGGTTAGTATTTAATAACAAATGTCTAACCAACAGGACATAGGTGTTTTATGATTTCCTAGGAGAGAGCATCAGATATTTGTGTCCCTTTTCAAGAGTCTTTCCTGCATTCTGGCTCACGCACCTCAGATTTCAGTGCCAAACGTTGGTGAATTTGAAATGGAAAGCATATTTTCCTACTAGGACACAGTCAGAACTGTCCTAAGATGTCCCAGTTCATAGCAGAGTTTTGTTCTTTAACCACACTTAGGAGGAAGAGGACTTTGAGGCATTAATTTTAGAACTTGTAAAGCCTGACAAATTTCAAAAACAAAGAGGAAAATACAGTCTGACCACTCTGATCCTTGGGTCTGTCACCATAGCCAGGCTGCTGATGGCTTTACTTTCAGCACTGATGAAGACCAGCCACATTGACAGTGCAAAGGCAAACACGAGGGCAAAGAAAAGGCAGGAGGAGTTGGGGAGGGAAGTGTTCCAGCCCCGGGGCGGGTCAGCACATGCTGACTGCTGCAATTTGCTTGTACATCTACACAGAGCCTCAGTGCAAAAACAAGAACAGGCATTTGCATGTCCAAATAAATCACCTTCTTGGGGCCAGATTCTCAGCAGGTCCCAGCTGACGTGGCTGGCTGGAGCTTAGTGGACATATGTCAGTCCTATAAACCAGGGCCAGGACTTGATGTGCAGAATCAGGTCCTGGCACAGGTCATGTGGGGTGAAAGACCAAGAACAGCAGATGCACGGTAAGACCTTGGGTTTGTCCTTCACTTCTGAACACAAGGAGCCTGAACCTGGCTCAGACTGAACCAGACCAGACCCTGGAGACATGGAGGCAAATTCCTTGCAGCGTTGAATGACCCCTTTTATGTGAACTAGGAGTAATGCTTCAGATTTTACAGGTAACTTTAATTTTAAAGCTGGGTGCTCCTGGACTATCACTTGACCAAGCAACTAACCCATTCCATGGTCCTTTCTGTAGCATCATGGCCAAGGAGAAGATTAGAAAGAAATTTTTTACAATGAGGGTGGTCAAGCACTGGAACAGGTTGCCCAGAGAGGTGGTAGAGGCTCCATCCCTGGCAACATTCAAGGTCAGGTTGGATGGGGCTCTGAGCAACCTGATCTGGTTAAAGCTGTCCCTGCTCACTGCAGGGGGGTTGGGCTAGATGACCTCTAAAGGTCCCTTCCAACCCAAAGCATTCTATGATTCTATGACTGGGCATACACATGCTACTAAATTCACTTTGCTGCCTCTACTGGTTTTGGCTGGGGTAGAGTTAATTCCAAAATTAGGTGGTCCTGTACAAATTGCCTGCTGGGAAGAGTCCCCAGCATGTGCAAACTCCTGAAGCTCTAACTGTTTGGCAGGGTGCTAACTGGTACAAGCCAAGACCATGCTGGGGCCATGCTATTGGAATAACCCAGGCTAAACACACTGGTAGCTGTGATGAGGGTTGCACAGTGTGGGTGATGGAGCTGCATGCCCTGCATCGTTGCATTTCATTCAGTAAGGACACGGGCCGGTGTACTTCTTTCCTGGATAGAAATCTCCACATACACCAGCTTTTGCCCTTTCATTGGATAGATGAGTCCTATGTACTCTAAATTGACTTCTCAAGAAGGACTGTGTAGAGTGGGGGACAATTCACCCTGCAGCACACAACAGCATGGCAGAGGCAAATTTCACCCCCGTTATGACTACTGGATCATCAGAAAGCTGCCCAGCATACTCAACACTTGCCTGGGGCAAGGCTGGGTTGCATGGTGCTCCCAGGTCTATGGTGTCCTAACGTTAAACTAGACCAGAAGGATTGGGTGCCCACTTAGGGTGACCTTACCCAAAGTGTGGGGTGCTGGGCCCCTGCTGAGCAGGGTGCTGTTTGAGGGATGCTGTCCTTTCTGGCCTTTGCTCCTTCCCTAAATAAATATATAAACTTAGACATAACCATATCCTGCTCTGAAGCCTTCCCATTTGCTTTACTATCACAACATGGGGATAAACAAGGAAAAATCCTGGCTATGTTGGGGTGTGCAAAAGCTTGTCCCTTTATTTGAAAAGAAACAAGGTTTCACCCTTGAAATGTAATGTGAAACGCATCTTTTTGTTCCAGCATCCTGTGATGCGATGGCCTTGCTGTGTTCTCACTGTTTGCTGGCAGCTCTTACCCAACAGTAGTGCTGCCAACATAGCTATTTAGCTGTGTGGTCAGTCAAATACATGCTCTCTCTTTTGGGGAAAGTGTTCTAAATTACATGAATCACATCCAGATCCAGCAAAAACTGGTACAATTGAGAGGCAGGAAAATGGAAAGTGAGGAACAATTAGGGTTTGCTTTGCCCTTTTTCCTCTTTAATTTAAACTTTTAGTTTTCATCAGATGGTGGTTTATATACCACACCCAAGTCTAAAGGGTAGAATCGGACTCTGAGACAATTTATACTTCCATCATGGGCAGCAACTGGAAGAACAAACCAAACCTTTTAAAATCCGGGGCTCTGAGAAGGAAAATCTGTTTCTTACTGTCTTTGGGCGTCTTGAGACTTGGGTTTTACATCACGTGCACAGTGAATTTAAGATTGCATCACAGATGCAAGCACGGACCCAGATTCAGGTCTCAGATCAGGAGCTGAGATTCTCCAGAGCACTAAGTGATTTTAGGAGACCATCTCAAAACTCTTCATAATAATCCTCGATTACTGAAAGCACTGCACTTGCCTTGTGAAAGCCATGGTCCTGAGAAACATCTCAGCCACCAAAACTGTGACATCCAGAACCGCCTCTGTAAATAAGTTCTCTAGAGCTCAATCTAGCTGGGCAAATACAGCAAGAGCAACAAAAAGTTAGCAAATAAAAATTCTCTAGAGCAAAAGTCACAGAGAGTCTTTAAAGGCTATTATTCATTGTTGCGTGTGAGACGTTTTCCTCAAAGACTTTCAGTGCTTGTCAAAAGCAAAGCGTTCACACAGGAACATTTTCACAAGTGCATCTGAACCGCAAGTGATGTCCCAGCTCCCTGGGACCCTGTTGCAAATATTTCTGCCATCAACACCATTGCAAATGCTGGTGGGACTCACAGGCAAACTTCCAATTAGGCAACAGAAACAAAGCCACATGACGTGAGTTGTTTCCAGTCATGTCAGCCAAATAATAAAGATTTTTCATTCCAGTAAGGAGAAGGGAAGGATCACTGGGAAGTGTGGTCTTGGTGTATGCTTGCTCCTACACTTATGAAGAGCACCAGGGCCCATTCTCCAGCCCTGAAAACAGCTACCCTGATCAGGTTGTGTCCATCCTATTGACCTCCTGTGGCCTCCAAAAAATTTGTGCTGCATCCATGCTTCCTGCTGGGAATTATCCCAGGCTGTGTTGACTCCTGAGCTGGGTTGGGAGCTGCTTGGGTCAACAGAGTTGGCTCAGGCCAAATTTGTGGCAAAGACTATGATAGCAATACAACATATAAAAGATGAGCTTCCAGCACCCATGCCCACGCATAGGTGTAGCATTTTTGTCTTGTCTTCCTCTCTGTGAAACTACCAGTTCATAACTACCAGAAATAAACATATGTGTAAGGTAGGGCCCAAGGGTGGGATAGGAGGATGACAGAAAAGTGGACCGGCTTCTAATGAAGCAGGAACCAATAGACGATGAACCTGTAAGAGCTGGATCAGGACTTGGAGATAAGGTTCTGATGTCATGCATACAGCAGACAAAGGAATATTATTTGTTACGTATTATATGGTCAGAAGAAAGGGATCCCACAGCAGTTTGAAACAAAAGGAAGCGCTGGGTCTCACTGTGCAGAAGTGACTTGGGGGAAGCAGGCTACCACAAGACCTTATAAAAAGTTTTAAGTTTAAAAAGAAAAAAGGGGGGAGAATTAGGCAGACTCTTGGAGGTTAGATCCACTAATGACTGTCAAACACAGTGGCCAGCATACAATCTCCTGCTGAGGGAGTTCCTAAACCACCAACAGCCACAAGCTGCAAGGGCAGACCCAGGGGATGGACTGAGTCACGCTTCCTCCCTACAGCCCTGACAAAACTTCCCTTCGTGATGCCCATCAGAGAAGTGCTCTTACACCAGCAGTGCCCTCATATTCATGGTGTATTCATACCTGCTGTATTTGTCTGAGTGTTGAGATATAATTAGAGAAGCAGGGGAGGGGGCAAGCTGCTAAAAAGTCCTAAGCAGTTCAAATGACCATATTTCCCCAGTCTGCTGGATCCCAGCAGGGATGCTGAGTCTGGCCCAGCTCCTTCTCTGAGGTTCTGGATACTCTGGCATTAGTCTTTTCTCTTCCCTAGGCTGCTCCCACCAGCTACAGGAAACGCAATGATTATTGTTGCCTTTTCACTTGGGGCTGAAGGCAGGTAGGAACAAGGAGTCACTTGTTTCCTCATTCTTTCCCCCCCAACCACCCCTTGAAAAAGTGTGCTATCTAACAGGGACAGGAAACCACTTACCAGTTCCTTCCTGAGCCATGTCAAAGCTTCATCGATGCTCTCAAAGCCACCTATTCTCCCTGAGGTCAGAGTCACTTTGTCCTGGGCAGGGCTCCCATTGAGATGCAGCTGCACCTTCCTCAAGGGGACAGTCTCCCCTGTGGCCTTTTTGGCCTCAGTTGCCTCCTCCTCGTCCTCCTCTCCAGCTGGCTGGGGGCTCTTCCATGCCTGCTCCTCCAGCTTTGCCTTCCACTCCAAGTAGGATGGGCGCCTGGTCTCCAGTCTCAGCTTCTCCGTCAATGCCTTGAGGCTCCTCAGGTGGTCATCAGGAGGAGCAGCACATCCAGAGCCAGCATCTGTGCTGTCCAGCACCTCTTCTATTTGGATTTTGGGTAGAGACATCCTCTTTGGGAGTCAGAGGGCATAGGGGTGTACTGCAAAGGGCCAGGGATGGAGGTGGGAAACCCTCAGGGCTGGACCAGCTCCCGCGGCGTGCCAAGCGCAACCCCTCGGAAGATAGCTGCAGTGGTGGTAGCTCCTGCTCATGCACCACGCTGGCCCTGGATGAACACCTGGAAGAAAAGCAGATGGTTGGCTCCCAGTTTGAGAAGGAAAAGTGAGTGAGAAGAGAGAGACAGCTCCTGCTGCAGTGGAGGGAGCGAGGGCTTTGGGAGAGGCACAGTGCCAAGGTGCTCCTGGGGAGTGTTACCTCAGCTATCTGACTGCTTTTGGGGCAGGAACAGACAGGCTCTGGCTTTTAGGGAAGCTCTTGTTACCTACATCTCCAGTCTTAACTCAAGGGGCCATGAAAGGGTTGCCGAGGAGGCCAGCACACATTCACAGACCCCTCTGCAGCTCTATCACACAACCCAATGTCCTCTGGAGAGAGCAATGGCTGTGGCTGGGGGTCAGGGTGTCTATGTGCACTGTTTTGCTGATTTCCTGGCTGGCAAACCTACATCTTTCTACATGGGCAAAACAGCTGAAGTAAGACAACCCAAACTTCTCTCCTCCCCCTGCCCAGTTTTACAGATTTATGTTTAGGTCTAGGTTTGCTAAAGATGCCAGTCTGCAGCCATAAGATTCAGCTCCCTCCTGTCCAGCAGGCTCAGGGCAGGAGCATGGTCCCCAGCCAAGTGTGGGAGTAACTGGGGTGCTGGCACGGCTTGGGTTCAGATGCCTGTGCTCAGGGAGTCTTGGACTTGTGGCTTCCATCACTGGACATGTCCAGTCTTCCCACTGGCAATGGTCCCAATGGTCCCCTTGGCAATACCCCGGTGGAGGACTAGCACAGAGTCCTGGGAAAACTCCTAGCTCCTCCTGCCCTGGGCTCTGGGCTTGGAGAAGCTGTGCCCACAGCCAAAGCTGGCCTACCAAACCTGCCTGCGTGGGACCAAGGACTCTAGCAACTCTGCAAGAGTCAAGCTCAGGCAACTTTTGCATTCATTTAGTGGTAGGATCAGATAAGAGACTTTCTCAAGGTGTATGCTCATCTATAGCTGAGCTCTCGCACGTGGAACACAAAACAAAATACTTTTTTGCCTGCCTGGTAACATGCCCAGAAAGACCAGCCCGGACGTATGCAGCTTTCTAGCTGGATGCGCTAAACCGCAGCAATATGAGTTACTCAGCCATTCTTTTCCCTGCCATTTGCGCTCACAAAGAAGTGTGTAACTCTGAAATCCAGACCATAATTATGCCTCTCAAACCTTTTCAGTAAGAAGATTCAATTTAAAATAAACACCAACAGAGAGCAAGATTTATCCCACAATTGTGTGCAGGCACATGAGCTGAACGAGGAGTTGATAATATACACACAGACAGTCTGGGGGTGGAGAATTAGTCATGTTGCGGTCTTGTTCCTGCTCCTATTTATGTTAATGAGAGTTGTACGGTGAGCGGGAGCAAACACAGATACTATATCAGGTTGAAGCCAACAGCTCTCATGCCTGGAGCAGCAACAATTTTCCTTCTTCTGTTGAAAAATAGATTGTATGGAGGGGAAAGCAAAGGGCTGCCCTGTCAGAGAGTCAGGTCCTGCACCAGCTCTTGCACGGATGCTCTGCAGAGCTGAGGGCACGTCAATGATTTTCACTTGCCTCCAGCTCCAGCCTGCTGAATCAATAAAGGGAAACACTTAACGACTTTAAAGACCTCACTTCTGAGCTTTTTTTCTGTCCATTGAGACAGAGATTGCTAGAGGTGGCCAAAACCAGCAGCCCAATCGAGTCTGCTGCAGCTCTGCACTGGGCTACTGGATTTGGTAACCCTTGGTGAAGATAATATTTTTACTGTAAGGCTGACTTTTCTGAATGCCACAGCTGCAAAGCAGAGTCCCCACAAACTCTTTTGTCTTGTGTCTTCGGCATGTATAAAATCCTCAGGGTGGAAAAGGCCCTTGCTATTTAAGCCCTGGGTACAGCTCAGTTAGCATTTACAACATCGGACCATGAAAACAGTCCAGCAGCTTGGAGCATCCCCTTTGTCACAACCCCGCTGCCATCTCCCCCTCCCCATCACCGCCTCCCAGAAGCTTTGGAGGAATTTGATATTTCTACCCTAAAAGCGGCGTTGAGCCAATCCATCCTTCACCTCTTCCCTGCTGCAACATGAAACTTCTCATTCACTCTGTAGGGACACCCCCTAAACAGGCACATCTGTTCCCCAGCCTGTCCAAACTGAAAAGTGACAGAAAGGAGCTGCCTCTAATTTCCTATCAATATCTTGTATTGGGTAAAAGACCTGCTGTGGAAAAAGAGATCTGAAAGTGGTAAGCGTGTGAAAAATGTCTGTGTATGAGGCTGTAATACAAACCTCTTTGCTGCCTGAGAGCAACTAATTCCCAGGAACAAACCTGGCCTCTGGTTCAAATCAAGTCTCCCAGTCTCCCTGCCCCAGGCTCAGTTTCTCCCTAGGCTGGTCTGTGCAAGGGAATTTAAGTGATTAACCCTTGATTTGTCTTCATTATCACACTTGCCAGGCTCAGGGCATTCATGCCATGCCTAATTAGGGGTAACAGGAGTTCAGCACCAAAATGGGGTGAGGGTCTGCTCCCACCTCACTAAGACACTTTGCTCAGTGGTTTCCCCCTTCCCTTGCATGAATCCTATCAATCCTGAAGGCACAAGGACACATCAGGTCACTGAGAAAACAAAAAAACCCTTTAATTTCTTTGTTGGGCTAGGTTTCCATCAGAGAAGCCAGCTTAACTGATCTACCCTGTGAGCTATAATGCAAAGGGATTAGCAGAAGAACACAACCAGGATGGAGAAATGACAGGACTGCCAAACTGGATTGGGTGTGAAGTCCTACCACGCCAAGACTCACGGAGCTGGCATGCCTTGAGGCTTGGCTTTTGCATGGTTGCAGGTCAGCAATGCAAATCCTGCCCTCTCCCACACCGGACAAACCTTGTGAAGCTCATGGAGTGTCCTGTGCTCTAAGATATGGGGTCCAGCAGCACAATTTGCCACCACAACTTCCCACTGCAGCTGTTCCTCCAACCCTGAAGCAGATGCAGAAGACCTTGTCCTCATCACACACCCTCAGACATCCCTGCCCATGCATTAGAGCAGGGCTTCAGGAGACTGATGTGAACATCCCCTGACAAACCAGGTGTGATGGGGCAAGTCCTAAGAGGCACAGGGAGGTGTACAGGGGTGTGAGGAAAGCTTTGCTTTATCATCACTGTCCAATGATGGACAACAATAAATTCACATGTTATTCATGGTCAAAAGGGAGATTGCACAAAATGATGCTAGGCACAGCCTTTTACCCCGCGGGAGTTTTACATGCCTGAGAAGTTTTATATGTCTGCAGCTTCCCCATCAGCTCTCTGTGCCCTGGTCAGCTTTGAACATGAGGCATTCACGAAGCAGCATTGTCTGGTATGTGCTGGACCAAGGCAGCACAGGTACAGCCTGTTAAATTAAGGGCTGTGAATAATGACACACAGTGCTTTGGAAGGTGACACGCTGGGGAACAAGATGTCTAGGAGAAGAAAGAAAAAAAAGAAGGGAGAAACACTCAGGGTGGAAATGAAAGGGAAAAAGCAGAATAAATAAATCTATCAGTCAAGGCAGAGGTGTGGGGAGCAAATTATTCTGCTCCCTTCACTATTCCTGGTGGACTTCAGCTTACTGTAATACCATTTTTTGTTGGAGAGGAACAGCAATGATTTTAAGAGTCTATACTACTCTGCTCATCTAGTCTCTGAGAAGAATAAAAAGCCTCAGTATGAGATAAAGCGCAGGCCGAGGGAAGTCCTTTTGCAGGATGAAAAGGTGCCCGCATGGCACTTCTGGCATGGGTTAAACAAGGCAGAGGTAATGGTTCAGACTGTTAATGACCTTCAGAAAACACTTCAGCCCCTTTTATGCCACAATTTCCCTCTCACTGAGTAGGCAGTTCATGCAACTGGCCTTTAGGAATAAAGCTCTGAGGATCTTCAGAGACGTACAGAGATTTACCTCTGTTTTCTTCAGGTCTCTCTGTCTCATCTGGGTCACCATGCTCCGACTATAATCAGTGCAGGGACACCCTCTATGAGCCACTGAGTTTGGGGTGTGGATCCCCTGACTGCAAGGCATTTGCTCTGAGGGTTTGCATAGGTGTCACCCTGCGGATCATGCAGACATCCCTTGATCTACAAAAGCAATCCCTAGAGTAAATTGCACCTTCTACCATCATGACTGAGCTTTGCCGGTCCTAGTGAGTAAGGAGGACCCTGAGCCTGAAACAGCAGGCTGAAGGAATTCCAAAGTAGAGCAAGTGGTGGGGGGATGGTGCCCAGTGTGGACACCCCATGCAGGGAGAGCCGTGTTTGCTTTCCTTCTTGGCACAGCAAAAAGACGGGGATGGGGTGGGGATGCCTGACACCCCCGGGAGGTCTGCAGCAGGTTGGCAGCGGGGCAGCGAGGAGGAGATGCCTGTGCAAGGGGGTTGCCATAGCAATGGAGTAAGGGAAGACTCTGGCTGCTGCACGGTGGTGGATGGAGGCTCCAGAGCATCCTCCAGGAAGCGGGCACACCGAGGCCCCGGGCAGTGGATGAAGGGAGGAGAGACCCATCTGGGTCAACACAGCAGCTCCCTGGAGCTGATGGTTCCCTTTCAGGGAGGCTGTACATGAATAACTGCTTTCTCCATGCCAAAATGACCTCGCTCAGGAGAGGAGCTGCTGTGCTGTGTGGGCTTTGGTGAGCTTGGGCTCGTCCTTACCTTGGGGTCCCCTGCCACAGCCCCCCCAAGCAGCACAGCTGTAGCACGCTGCTCTGCACAAGGCTCCTACAGAGATGGAGAGCAAATTGATCCCCTGTCTGTCCCACAGACTCAGAGGAGAGCCAATCTCCCTGGGTTATATTATGCAGCATTTGGACACCCGATCCCTTTCTGTAGCACCTGAA